TTAATTTGTTCGGCAAAACATCTATTTGGGATATCAGCAACACTTTGTCAAACTGATGGGCTTTGTTTATAGCTCAAATAAAACTGGGAAAAAAAGAAGATCGACAGAGTCTGCTGTAGGGCTGAACGATTAATCAATTTTAAATCGAAATCGCGATTTAAATCGAAATCGCGATTTTAAATGATGCGATTATCAAATCGCAAAGCCTGCGATTTTTTTTAACATTTTTTTTAACAATTTTTCTTTTTTTTTATTGTGTGTCAGTCATCCACACCAATCAGAAGTGCTGTGCTCCACATGTACCAGCCATTGTTAATTAATCAGAAGTAGCCCATGATAGAAGGTGATAGACCAACCCAGTCTCATGGCATTTCGTGTTCACCAACACGATTTTTAATCTATTGATTCGTGTTCACCAACACGATTTCCCCCTTTTTTTCGTGTTGCACAGCACGATTTTAAAAGCAATGTATTTCTACTGGTAATGACGTTTTAGTTTGTGTCGGTGTGAGCGTCCATTCTCATTGGATAACGGAGAATTGTACACCCGGAAGTAAGTATTCCCCTTACTGTCGATTGATTTTACAGTGATATCTGCACTACTCATCGACTAAAAAACACCAGATTATCCTTGTTAATTACACAACATTGATTGGTTTAAATTGTGTGCAATGCTTTTGTATTTTCCCCCTTCGATTCGGAGAAACAAATATTTTTTCGGAGTAAAGGATGGCAGAAGACACTACACTACCCAGAATCCCCAGCTATCGTTTGGACTACACCATGTGCTCTGTTTGAGAAACCCCGTTTTTTTTCACCATTCATTCCAATGTCACGTGATCTTCAAATTTCTCCCTGCAGAAAAAAAAAACATGGCCGAACTTCGTTTTATTCTCGGTGGAAAATGCCTATTTTAAAGTTAGTTTGGCCATTAAAATGCGTTTTGATGTAATTTGATGCGAGAAATATGAGTTGTTATTTCAGATTATGTGTGCAGTGGATGTACATGATCTTTAGTTTGCTAGTTATTACGAAGATTACTTCAGGAAGTTTTCATTGTTACCAAGGTGGTTGCTAGGGACGCTGCTATCGATATTATTTATGTTATGTTGTGTAACTGTTTAATGGTGTTATCTATATTGCTACCCCCTTCCCCGTCAATGTATAGTGTTGGTCCACAGCGCAAACATATTAGTTTAACAAAATCCGCATCTAAAGATAGCCTACGTTATTTTCCCCTGTGCAATTCCAGTCTCACATCTCACAGCACATCGTCATTAACAAATACCGGAAACAGACCGAAAACATTTAAAAAAAAATACAATAATACTTTATTCCGAGTGTGTTTGCTTTTCTTTTTGAAAGTCATCACATAACGGCATTGTAATACACGGTTCGGCTGCATTAAATATTACATATCTGCCGTAGTTCTGTATTTATAGAGCCCTGATGAGAAGACTTGTAGACAAACATGAGGAACTGAAAACGTGACGTGGATCATAAATATATCAGCCATTAAACAACATCTTACATTTCTTTTCACACAATACGTCTCCTTGCAGTATCAACACTAATTCGGCTGACTTTTATATTTGATCCAATTGGTAGATAGGCTGTATTTACACCATAAAGGTGCACAGCTGATATAAAGGGACACCTAGTGGTTAAAGCATGTTATTGAATTTCATTATTTTTATTATTAGATATGAATAGGATCCCTATAAAGTATATTCATTACTCGTTATTCTCTACTAATAGTTAATTAAAGACTGTATATAATGACTATTTTGCACATCCCTTTCAAGATTTTCTAAGGTTTATTGACATATCATATAGGCACATACAACTATGGTGTAGTTATGTATGGAATGACAAACTTGGGTCGCAGGTTCCTCAATAGTGCATTACAAGACATCTATCAATATTTGTGCATACCTCCAGCAATGTTAACTATGTTGAAGCACTTATTCTAACTGATATTATACATAATGTATTATACTCTTATAAGATGTATGTAGATATTTCATCTCCGGCCTTGTTAGGTATTGAACAATCAATAAATAAAGAACACAGAATTGTTAAATATAAAACACAGAATTTGTGTGATTATACTAAATGATTTACAAATAAACACCACTGCATACAACTGTTACACATGCTGATGTAACGCAAATGTTCCAACTTGGGATCAATAAAGTATATCTTAAGCTGATCGATGGCTACTGCCATATTTGCAAAATGTGCCTCTGAACCTTAACAAGTGCATGTTTCAGGCTTATCAATTAATGTAATGTAATGTAATGTTATCAATTAACAACAGGGGTCACAAACATAAGACCAGCTGTTAAATAAAGCTCTTCTGACCTTAGCTGGCATGTGTGTATATATATATTAATGCTGCCCATTATGGGCACAAGCAATTTTCACCCATTTATTAATTATATGTTTTAAATTTGAGTGTTTCCTACCCCCTAAACCTCCAGGGATTTACACAGTTTAATACTGGCAACTTCTTATTATGGGAAATACGAAAACGTCTTTTAAAACTACAACTCCCAGTAGAGACGTGCCATAGATAAACAACATGTTGCGAAACAGAATAGCCAGCATGTGTAGTTCTGGGGACGGGGTGGGGGAGGGGGGGACGCGGTGGACCCGTTCAAATCCAGTTGTGGACAGTCTGCCGTGGTTCCATCCCATTTCAAGTGCTGTTCGAGGCTCGGTAACCCTCGGAGCACACTCTCCAATCACAGAGCTTGAGGACTATCACGGGGTTTGTCAAACAGAGCACATGGTGTAGTCCAAACGATAGCTGGGGATTCTGGGTAGTGTAGTGTCTTCTGCCATCCTTTACTCCGAAACAATATTTGTTTCTCCGAATCGAAGGAGAAAAATACAAAAGCATTGCACACAATTTAAACCAATCAATGTTGTGTAATTAACAAGGATAATCTGGTGTTTTTTAGTCGATGAGTAGTGCAGATATCACTGTAAAATCAATCGACAGTAAGGGGAATACTTACTTCCGGGTGTACAATTATCCGTTATCCAATGAGAATGGACGCTCACATTGCCTTTAAGGGCAGCCGACACAAACGAAAATGTCATTACCAGTAGAAATACATTGCTTTTAAAATCGTGCTGTGCAACACGAAAAAAAGGGGGAAATCGTGTTGGTGAACACTAAATCAATAGATTAAAAATCGTGTTGGTGAACACGAAATGCCATGAGACTGGGTTGGATAGACAGATTGATCCAATCACCTGCCAAGTGCTTTTGAAAGTGCCTGCCCTTTCCAAATGGCTTCCAATGGAGCTTTAGATGCTTTGGTGAAACCAACCATCTGAGTCAGGTTAGTACTGCTCCATCACATGTTTCTATTACAGGGTGAATCTTAAACTGAAGCTTGACTTTAAAGCAACCCAACGGAAGTTTAATGTAAGTTTAGTACTTTCACTCGTAGCTCGGGCTGCGAGGGTGCTAGAGACGGGAGCACGTTGATACGACCTTCCTAGCCGGAGTTATGGCCGCATTTTACAATAAACTTCCGTTGGGTAGCTTAAAAACAAATATCGCAATTCGAATCGCAATCGCAATATTTGTCAGAAAAATCGCAATTAGATTTTTTCCCAAAATCGTGCAGCCCTAGTCTGCTGTGTAGTACATGTTATCCTAAGCCAATTTAAGTTAGAGGAGGTGGAAATGTAGCCATGTCAAATATCAGCATACTGTACAGAGGGATTCCAGCTAATCCTTTCACAATAGAAGTTGTAGCTGCCTTAAGGGAGCAAACCCCCAAACATGGATAATACCACCACAGCCGTGCGTGTCTCCCTGATTTACATAGTTGAACCATCATTGTTTCCCAGCCCTCACTCATATGGTGCATGGATTGGAAGTGGAGCTCTTGGTAAACCTCTTTACCGTACGGATCAAACAGAGACAGTGTGCAATGTTGTGGCCCCTCATTTAGTGAATTCAGTCATGGCTTCGACCCAAAGACAACTGCATCGAGCATCAAGCAAATCCTTCAATCCTCTCCCAAGCATCTTAATAAATAAGGCCATTAGTTCCATCACAAGTTCTCTAGGCCTCCAACACCCTTCGACTGGGGCTTTTACTTAGCCAAATCCAACATTCAGCTAACTGGAAGAAAACTGACAACGATTTTTCATCGGGAGAGAGACTGCCCTCTAAGTTTCTAAAATAACGTCTTGAAACTCTGATAATATGTAATCCAAAAAAGTTGAAGCAGACACTACAGACAAATAATTATTCCGCCAAAAGTATGCAGTGAACTGAAATGGACATCTTGACATTACAGACCTGGGTTATATTTCCAGATGTATATTACTTCACATATAAAATAAGAGATAGTTAAACCGTATGAGCTTTTTTTCACGACAACCTAAACAGAACTTTGCCTGTGGCAGCCCAATGAAAAAATGTTTCAAAATGTACATTTCTAACTGGTTATACGATTAATAGCTGAAAGTATATTCAATGGCATGCTATGAAAAATGGCCAGCAGTAATGTAACATTTAAACAAGTGAACTATACACCCAAAGGTCCTGCAACTAAAGGACTTAGGTTTGTTGCCTAAATGTAACCTTACCATCGACCCTAACCAACTTAAAACATACATATATATTCACATATTTAACAAATCATCACATCTCAAAACTCGCAAATCCATGGGCTTTAATCGATTGTTGATGCCATGACAAAGGTTCAGCTATCTGTTCACAACTTATCACGGATATCTCAGACAAATCCTTGTTCTCCTTAAAGCCAGTCATCATTACGACATACAATCAGTTTGTTAATATCCAATTGGTGTGTTAAAGTCTCGATCTGTGGCCCACAGCCAGCACAAACATGCTCACAAACAATTAATTCAACGCTGACACACTGCCAGCCATACTGTTTTTAACATCCGGAAGTAATAGATATTATGAGTCGTTTACATGAGTCCCAGCTCAGTTTCAGCAGTCCTACCTTCACAGTAAGTCGAGTCCCCGTGGATGGAGGCAAAGCCGCTCTTGCACTCACACTCTGCTTTAGTATTCCGGTTTTTACATTCAGAGTTTTCTCCACAAATGAGTCCCTCTGCGCAGAAGTTATAACCTGAAAGAGAAGGACAAAGGAGGTCTCCATCTACTTTGGACAGTACAGAGAGATAAAAGAAGACAAATGCACAACCCTGTGCCTGGAGCCCACAATACCGTGGATGACAAGAATCCTGATGTATAAAGTTTATGACTGCAGTAAAATGTCTGTGCCATAATAAAATGTTGGGCCTTTTTATGGCAGCATGTACACACACCACTTAAATAACATACACACACACAACACGCTGTACTTGAAGGAAGACCTCGGAGGATGTAATCCATCGAGCAAATAGAGTAAAAGTGTGTTCTTCATGTATTTTGTGTTGATTTAGTGCTACTAAAAAAGTAAAATAACCAAATGTGTAAGAAAGACTGCAACACTATCTGACTTTCTTTAACTCTGCCAATGTTTTTCTCTCATTCATCATGATGTTTTACAGAACAGGCGAAAATAAGCCTTAAGACACTAAAGGAGTCTGTGCATCCAACACAGAAGTTTCAAAATAAGAGAACACAGCTAAATGTTATATAACAATTATCTCTTCACAAATGAAAAGCTGAATAAGGTTCTTTAGGCTGGGCGGCTTAGTGTGGCAGGGAAATGTTTAGCTCTCTTGTGGAGAAACCACCGGCTGAGGAATGTATTGAACAGATGGATCAACAGTGGAGAAGTGGATCAAGTTCCAGCAGGGGTGTGAGAGGTTTCTATGGACATTCAGATGTGTTGACACTCTCTTACAGTGTCTCTGGGCACAATAAGTCACATTTTAAGGTTTCAGGAAATAAGTGTTTCCTCAATGGAAATCGGCAGTACAGAAGACACTAAATCAGGATCCAACTGGCTCCCCACCTGTAAAGTATTGAAGCTATTGAAGCAAATGTTGGGATTAAAGGGGTACTATTATGCTTTTTTTTGGGCCTTCCCTTTCCTGTAGTGTGTTATAGGATTTTGTGCATGTTTGCAAAGGATTACATTCCAAAGTTCCCTTGACGGAGTTTATTTCCCACACACTCCCCCCCCTGCCCGAAAGCTTTTATAGTCCTTGTTGAAATGTATATGGCATAGTGACATCACTATGCAACACTCACACTTATATTGGCTAATGCTTCAACACATTGTACGTTATTGGCTAAGGAGCGGTTGACAAATCATGACAGAGATTGCCAGCTAACCAATCAGGTTGTTTCAGGCACAGGGTGAAAAGAGATGCTGCAGCACAGGCAGTATGAGGAAAATAAAGCACTTATTGAACATTAAAGCATGGAAACATGTCACATAAGAGGCACAAAATAAAATCATGAAACCTGAAAATGAGCATATCAGGGCCTCTTTTATAGGGCTGCACAATATGCATAATAAATAAGGCAAGAACAAATTAAACAACTTGCGGTAAATGAGCAGATACTGGCTTGTGTCTGCTTTAATCTACATCTGAAATCATAAAAACAACAAAGGTATTGTTAGTTAAAGATAGTTTAGTTACAAAGAGCATTTGTTTTACTGGTATTCTCTTTTTACTAAGTACAAAAAAATCCCTCAATGGATTATCCCAGTTCTTAGTGTCATGTTTATTGCCTTGGGTGACATCTCAGTGAATATATGGTTGTGCAGCCCTACCCTGCACTGCCTGCACAGCGCCAGCCTTTTGTTGAACCTGGATCAAACCAGAATGAACCTGCACGTGTACATACCATAGACTGGTACATACATGTGAAATGAAATGTACTGAGAATCAGTCTGCTTATATAAGAAAGCAGACAGACAGGCAGGCAGATATAGGTGATTGGCTCCCGCTCAGTAAGTATGATCTGATGTAGGCCATGATGTCCTGTAATGACAGACAGACTGGCTGCACATAAAAGCCTTGAGAGGCAGGTGGCCAGGGGAGTCATTACTGAGGATAGAGCTCTCTCTGAATTACTCTTCCTCCACCATGTACATGCGCTCCGCACTTACCCGTGTACACATGTAAAGGGACTGATTACACAAGGAATAACACATATTTGTGAGTGTGTGCAGTTGAGGCTTTGATATATGGATTATTGAAATACAATACACATTCACAGACCGTTATTAGTAAAATTCTTAGGGGCAGTTGTGTAATTGGCGATTTAACAAAGCCAGCGTGATACATGTAAATATCAGAGTGGAGCCAAAGTGGTGAGCCACAAAGTGGAGAAGAGGTCTGGTGTTGATTAGGAAATAATGACCGGCTCTGAGCTTTAGCGATCGTGAGCGTCTGTGAGAGAAGAAGGGGGGGGTGAAGAGGCACTGTGAGTGTGATCAATCTTTAATTGTTAGCACTTACTGCTCAAACTCTCCTCTTGGCTATACTCCTCTCCTCTGTACTCTAAAACATTTGTCACCTCCTCTTCTCTCTTTCTTCTCTTTTGAACAAGTCTTGATCTTTCTCCATTCTTATCTTCCGCTGCTCTCTTCCCTTTATCTTTTCTCTCTCCTCATTTCCTTACCTTTCTTTTCATCTTCCCTTCCTCTCATTTGCTTTTTGCTCTTCACTTTCCCTTTCCCATCTTCTTCCCTTTTTTCCCCCTTCAACTCATCCAAATAAAAGGCCAATTTCCCTTCGCTCAGAACCTGTCGCAGGTTTCATCCATTATCGCTCTATAGCTGACAGCCCCCTACAGTTTGTTTATTCAATGTATTTACTGAATTACCGGTGGCTATTTACCCTGTAGTACCTCCATGCCAAAGCAGCGAGGGTTCAGGCAAATTGGCATAGCAGGTGCTCTATAGAAGGCGGACCAATCTGCTCTGATAGGTATCCCAGCCAAGAAGCACCCGTTCCCAGTGGATAGGAAGAGAAACTGAATTATTGTAGAGGCACAGCCTGATTCAGAAACCGGCAGGCTGGCTTTGTTTACTCCTCGCAGTGGCAGGGGATTGGTGCGTGCCCGTCCAAAGAAAGACAGATTCATGCAACTGAGGATAGTGTGTTAAGCAGAGAGACATACCTCTACAAACATTGCAGCATCGGCCATCTGGTAGGATCTGTTCACTGACAGTGCAGTTAAGCTCTGGACAAGTTTCTGTGACTTTCACCATCAGGCCATTCTGAGAGGAGAGGACAGAAGCAAAACAACCCAATGTAATGCTGGGGTGAACACTGCTTTTGAAATAAATAAAACCAAAGCCAAAGTTAAAAGGATGTTTTACATGATTTGTGTTTAGGAAAGAGAGGGTGAAATGTAATGGCTGTATATCATGCTCACATTTAGAAAAAAAAGGCATCATTTCAGATAGCAGGTAAAGTGCAGATATGAGCCACTATAGAAACAAAACAATGGTAGATCGAACCCTGTATCATCTTCCCCTGGGCCTTTAATACAAATAGCAGACACAACGCAACCATAGCAGCCGGTCTGTCAGCGCTCTGATGGTCCCAGCGATACCTCTCAAGGTCGGCAGTATTGACTCAAATCTGTAAGATATCTCCTTCACAACTTATTGCAATGTCATGCTATTCTAGGCATCATTGCAACTGCTTCCTCGTGTAATCTTTTAATAGTACCAATCTTTTCACTGAGCCTTTTGTCAGTCATATGATTTTCTCATTCAAACTTGGGGTAGTCAGTGTATTTTTAGCATCACTGGGCCAAAAGCATATTTTAATTACAGTACCCCATGAGAGAGGCGACAGCACCTTCACCTGGCTTTGTTTTTCTGCTTTAAAAAACAAATATAGCCAAATGTCAGGCGACTTTGGCCAATAGCAGCTTATGTCAGAGAGAGGGCGTTCCGTTGGCTATTCTACAGATGTACATGTGCACATTCCTCCAATGAAAGCCTGATACAAGGCCAACATATCCAACTGGAAATATTAGCTATTAGAGCATACAATAGATTAGCGGCTAAGCTAATAACACACTCTCTCTCTTGGCAATGGGAGCGAAAGGCTAAACTTGAGCCTTCTGCTTTTGAATCCAAAGGCTTAAGCCTCTGTTGGCAACACTCTCTCACATACTATCTACTGTGTTAGCATTCTGCTATAGCCTATGGCTTAGAGCTTAACAGAATAGTAAACTGTTAGCACAATTCTCTCTCATAGCCTACTATATACTGTTTTAGCATTCTGCTAACTGTGGCAAATGGCTTAGCACTTCAGAATGCTCAACTATTAGCAACGTTTTCTTTCCATCTCTGAAACCCTCTCCAATATTCTATCAAGCTTTGAAGAGAGACAAATAAAGTTAGAGCTCCAGATATTTTTTCAGGACTTGATGGCTTCTGAACCAATGACAGTATTGCTCAGTGTCTCATTATTATTATATCATGTCTGGCAGCCAAGATGAGATCAATAATGCCATAAGTGAAGGGACCTAGCCAAGTGTGAGTGTTTTAGTGATGCTGAGTGTTACTTATCCACAGAGCGTGATAACCACCAATCTTATTCATCTATCTGTTCTATCCATATGTCAATGCATGTATTACTCATGTATGTGTTTCCCACTCCTCACCTCTCCTGCTGGGACAATGAGAGGACAGAACCATTGTGATAAATTCTGAAGTCATATGAAAATACTTTCACACACATGAAAAAGCTTTTGATATAAATGTAAGGGATGTCATGGTACAAAGCTCTGAAAAATGACCCCTGAAAACATCAAAATAACACGATCTAAGCCCCTTTTTAAAAATAATTAGTTCACAAACAAGTCACTTAGCAGGTTCCACATCCAGGGGTAAAGAAAAGCTGTAATTGCTTGAAACAAAGTCTACAAACAATATAATGACGTTTCGAGTTGCCTGAAGGCTTATAATGAGTCCAGTGTATGGCTATTTGTAACCAATTAGATGCACACAGAGCTCATTTTCTCCCCAAAACATTGCATTTAGAGATACATGACTTCTCAGTGAAGAAAGCTCACCTCTGTTCAATGGTGAACTGGAACAAGAATTCCAATTATAATGCATGCAGTGATGAAGCTTGTAATAAAATCAGGCCTTTGTGTTGCTGCGTTAATACGTTAATTTAATTACCTGGCTATCACGCCATTAGTGAGAACAAAAAAGGCAGATTGAACAGATTGGGGGAGGGATGGAAAACTAATATAGCCTGCTGGCTAATTGAATAACACAGCGAGCCGTCCACCATGCAGTTAGCTCACAAGGGCTGCATGGTATATCTGATCAAGCGTGGAGGCCAACTAATGGGGAAAGAATTGTTGAAATGAAGTAGAAATGATACCTTGCATTCCCTGCAGCTCCTGGATAGAAAGCGCTGGCCTTCGGAAAAGGTCTGGCCCATGTAGGTGCATCTCGCTGTGGGCACAAAGGCAGATCAAAGCTAAAATAACAATATATAAAGGTATAGAACAAAAGAAAATCCAACCCGAAGTTCAGCATATTTAATTTGTGTCAGAAACAAAGTTGATCTTGGCTTGTGTGCATAGCGGAGAGGAGCTGTAACAGCACATTTAGAATACAACAGTGGAGACACTTCTGCATATTCCTCTGGTGATAAAGCAGGGGAAAAATGAAGCATTTCATATGAAGTCCCTTCCAGGGTGCCGAACTATGGAGTGCTCAGTCGCAAGCTGTGGAACGCTGCTTCGTCGTTCTTCTGTGCCAGAGCTCTGATGTTCACAGGGGAGGAAGAGGAAGAAGAAGAAGAAGAAGATGCGAGCGGGGGGACGGAGGGAGGCAGAGCAGGGCTGAAATTACTCAAAGACTAACTATCCATCAGGGATTCCGTGTTTTTGCAGTATAGCAAAAGATAGAGTTGTCCGTGCATCTGTGAGCAGATCCCTGTGTGCTCTATACCAGAAATAGTGTTTCCATATCTGCTTCTATGAAAATCAGTCGACTATGATTTTTGCTCGTGCATTTTCTGTTTTCACCAGACCAGCAGAATATCAGCTCTCTTGTTTGTTCAGTGGTTCTAGTTTAAAACCTGAGATACATAAGCAACAACTTAACTTGATAACTAATCAATCACCATTGTTTTTATTTGTTCAGATAAATTCATTCTTTTTTGCATGTTAAGAAACTCATAAACAAAGCTGGAAAAAACCCTGTTTGAGGTTTTCAAAAATGTTTTGTCACTCATTACCTTGAAACAATGTTTTTTCCATCGACAGGCAGCCATGTTGCAAACTTAGAAATACATATAGATATCAACAACCTATGTTAATGTCACTCTCTCCTAAAATGCCTAGACAATTAAGGTCTTAGTATTTTCGTTAGTTAAGGTTTTACATTGTTCTTAACTAACATGTATTGATAAATACAAATAATTGGAGAGGAATTGATTTTCAAGAAATAGAGAAATGACAGCACTTCTGTTTCCAAAGTATTATATATGGTTAAGGCCATGCTGTAGACAGAGCAACATGAAGGTTATTGAATATAAACCAGCGCTTATTTGTGTGTTGGAAAAGGTGTTTTTGCACACAAGCAGAGGTGGTTTTCACAGGTTTGGTTGAGAATATTTCTTCTGCTTTCTGCTTGATCTATATATGTGCTGCCTGGTGATACTTACGTCTGCATTTCTTGCAGCAAGTCCCATCAACATGTACAGGCAGCGAGTCCTCTGAGCAGTTTGCTGGAGGACAGAAAATCCTGCGACACTCCACCACACCATTCTGTAAGAGAAGGATTTCCTTTTTAACATAAAACATGTAATCTGCAGCAAAAATCCAAAGCTCGCAGTGAACATACGGCTTTTTTCCGGTAGCACTGCTAAAAACTCCACACTTAACATGTTTCCTACTTCTTTGTGTCTCTCCACTTCAATTTGTTCATACAAATACACTCATGGAGCTGTAACACGTTTTACCCCTAACCAAAAACATATAACACATGCAGTGTGATCTGATCCAATGCAGCTTACTGTACATCCAAACCCTGCAATGGCTAATGATTACACCATGCGAATAAAACCAATCATAAACTGAAAGCTATTATATTTAAAGTAGATATATATATATTTTAAATTCAATGAAATAAGATAACAGATTCATCACTGAGCACTGGATAGCGGATACCCTAACTTAGCCTCATGCTGATATCAGGTAGTTATTCAGGCCCTGAAGGACTGCCTTAATTTTTGAGGCTGATATCTCTCTCTGCGAGCACCTCTTAATTTCATGAGTCATCGGAAATGATTACCCCAGGACGCAGCGGTTATCAGTTAATAGCATGTCCACAGGAGGAAATCAGACCGACTAAACTCCACCCTGTGCTTGATGTGCAATGATGCCGCGAGTCTAATTCCCCTGGGGCCTCGGTTTGGCCTGATTCATCACATTTCAAATTCTGACTCCTAGGTATGAGTGCCGGGCTGGGAGGCTTATTAGAGGGCGCTCATTAGAGGGCGCTCATTAGAGGGCGCTTATTAGGGGGCGCTTGTTAAGGGGTGGGCAGGAGGCAGCCGACATGATGGACAGGCTGGAAAGAAGGAGGACTGCGAGGAAGACAAGTTAAGGAAGTATTGACGGTGGAGGAAAGGAGTTGTAGCAACTTGTCTTTTAAGAAAATAATGTACCCTTAAGCCAATATGTCATCAATATGTAATGCCAAAACTGTCTAGAGGTTATTTCATAAAACTCATGTAGTTTGCTTTTTTCATGCTCCCAGTTACTGCTGACTGCTACTATTATTCTTTCTATTGTCAATAAAATGGCAAATGCCCAAATTTACTTTGAAATAAAGGTGCGGTCAAATAGTATGGATAACGACAAATGTAATCGTCCCAAAGCTACCTAAGGGTGAATAAAAAAGGGGACTTTAACTAATGTTGCTCCCTGTCAAGATACGGACAATCATTTATCCAGAAAACCTGTTCACCTCATGATAGATTCAATTGCTCAATTTGTACACATGATATATATTTGTGTATCTTGTTTTGTATGTGTTTGTACGGCGACTTTGAGAGCCTTGAAAGGCGCCTATATAAAACAAATGAATTATTATTATTATTATTTGCAATTATGTATTTATTTTCCTGAGCTTTCTTCAAAATGTTCCAAGGGATTTTTTTTTATTTCTTCTTCACCCAAATCAAAGGGTCTAAGGAAATAAGGTGTTGCATGCAGAATGTTAAACCCCTTAAGTTGAATTTGTGATGTGTGCTAGTTGCATGTATAAATACTTGACTTAGATAGGATGGAGACAGTGTATGGGGGTGGGGTGACACTCACCTTACATGCACAGTTCCTACAGTTCTCGGGCTCCACCCACAGCTCCTTATCCCTGTACACCAGGCCGTTGGCGCTGCAGGTCCTCTCGCAGTGACAGCCCTCCAATTGGGTTAGCCTCGTCTCTGCGTAGTTCAACTGAAGACGAGCACAGAATCACCGGAGTCACAAAACCGAATCAAAAGTGTGCATGCAGGTTCCACCACCACCGCCCCCCATAGCCCTCTGGCGTGTACTGGTCGGTTTCACAGAGTGCTGCTCTGCTGGGAGCCCCTCATTAGAAGGGCACATAGTATAAGTGATCATCATTTGGCTCATGCTCCAGACCTCAGGCTATGATCTTCTGAGGAGTGACAGACAGGTCTGATTGCCCCGATCCTGCCTGGCTCCTCTTTTATTCCCACACACTGATCAGCCCTTCCTCTGCGGCTTACTTCATGCTCATCACTCTCCACGGTTGTTTCTCGACAAAAGTGATGCGCCTTGAACTTGACGAAGTGTCACAGAGGGTAGTTTGCATCAACAAGGATTACATTCAAATCAGGATTTTACAAACGTTTCTCTTCAAACATATGTTTAGTCGACTCTTGTTTTGTTAAGTATGTTTTGAAAGGAAATACCTGGGTTTTGGTTAAATGTTAATTGATTAGGCAAGTCCAGACCTCGTGCTCTAAGACTCGAACCCTTTCCAATATCAACTAAGACCACAACTCTACCTCATCCTAACCAAGTACTGTGAGTGACGAAACATTAACACAAAAATATATGAGTCATGCTTTAGTTGCTACAAGTGTGTATCATGTTGCAAGAACAGCTACTGTAGGAACGAGAAATGAAATACAATGTCTGTCAACATTTTTAAATGGTGTCCAGAAGAAACATTTTGTGACTTTGCAAACATTCAAAACGATTCCTTAATTTGTTGATCAAAAATTGTAAGTGAGGTGTTCCTCTCTAAATGCATATCCTATAATTACTGAATGGAAATGTTCCTGGTGCAGGAAGTCTTCAAGATGATATTTCAGTAATGGGGATACTCTGGCAATTACCATGTGATGTGTTTGATCCCACAAGTCCTTCAAAGTAACCTTGTGCAGTATCTTGTTACTTAGAAATACATATAATTGTCTTTTTAACAACCTTTTCTGTTGAAAATCCACTAGCCTCAAGGTTCAGTTGGCATTCATCTGATGTTCACACTTCTTATCCAAAAAGTTATTTATCTGTTATATACTGTAGGCCACTTCATCCATCAAAGCTTACTTACAGCCTTGAGTAGATGCTACCGAGTTAGAATAAGACACCAGTACCACATCCATTCATACATCCATAAAAGAGATTAATACTTTCTGACCCTCACAAAAACCATCAGAGTGCTGTTTCAAAGGCGGACAGGTAGGGCAATTCAAAGGTTCAATTGATCTGAGCAGCGTAGGTCAACTCAGAAATTGTAGGCCCTTAAGACCCTCAATGCCGCTCTGCCACTCTTCCTCCGCCCTCTCCACTCCTCTGAGACCTGCCCAGGCCACAGAGTCAAAAAGGGAGGGCTCTCCGTGGAATGATAGTCTTTTCAGTAAAATAGAAAAATCACAGAGGCTTTTTGCTTCATTTAGAGGAGTCCCATCGGGCTCCTGGGGAACTGCATGCGTGAGCTTTGAGCGGTAGAGATGTGTCCTGTCAAAGCCCTAAACAAAATGTTTGAAATACAATTTCAAAGACTGGGAGGCTGCCTAGAGCCACCACGGAGGAATACCTATCCACAACGCCAGCATCAAATGGCACAGTGATATCGCTCACAGGAGTCACAGGCTAATAGGCATGTATCTCCTCCGGTAGACACATGAGGCAGAGAGACATGTGTGAAATAATAAAATAACAGCTAAACACAAAGTCTAAATGAATGGTGGCGATGGAAAAGGTGCATTTATCAGCTTTAATCTTATTCATTTGCCTGCCTTTCTGAAGTCACGCATGTGTGGGTTCTGGGGCCAGAATGAATCAGTCTTGGGCCAACGAGTAATTAGGTGTTGTTTGTAATTTATAAATGGGTTATCTGCTGCCAAGTAATTATCATACATTTGCTGTAACAATGAAATAAACACACACTCAAATGTCTAAATCTGTTGAAGATTAAATTGATTATCCAAATGAACAGGGACACTGATTCTTAAGGGGGCGTTGCTGTTGATATTGAGCATTGCTTAATGCTGTTAAGATCACAATCAAGGTGTAAGCAGAAATCTAAGCTACAGTACTGGATGTTAATGAGAACACTTTTATTTTGTATTAGGCTGAACTAACCTTTGAAAGATAAAAAATATATAGTTAATTGGTGTCTGTATTAATCCTTCATGTTGATTTCTACATTTTTTGGCATAAACCCGTAATATTGCTTCCTCTCACAAACACACAAGTATAACACCTGCACATTCTCCCATGCATGCCATTCTACAGCATATCTTACTTTCATCTCGTCTTGCCTTGACATGACACAATCAGGGCTGAGCACGTATTCACCTCGTGCTGAATTCCTCAATTCTCTCCACAGCAGAATGGCAGAGAGCCATTTAACGCTGGATATGACTGCATCCCCGCCGCTGCGACCCGTGTGAGCAATGAGGTCAGGTGGCAATAACTCCAGGTGTGCTCGTGTGAAGGATGATGCACGGACACAGCGGTAGGGTAATGTTCTTAATTTCACCCTTATTCACACCCAAAATTATTCTTTAGCTCACTCGCCCGCTGAGATGTCCTTGCTTCATTCACTCCCACCTGATAGCACTCACTCATGCACGTAGAAATAGGCACTCACTCACATGCACACACGCAGTGAATTACACTCACACATATGCAGATGTGTAGCCTCAAAAATGGTTCAAGCTCTCCCCTATGGCTCCACTGCAGAATGCACACCACCTGTTAGCCTCCATGTTGTGCCTTTTCAGTTGCCTTTTCCTGACATCTTCCAGAACCATGAATGTATCTGTCCATCATACACTATGTGTGTGTATGCGTGTCATGAAAGGGATAGTGTCACAATAATAGCGATACTAAAAAGCCCACTATCAGATATTCATAGATCATTTTTGTGAAATTCAGGAGCAAGCTTAATTACTAAATTAAAATGCAATATTATACAATCAATACATTTGTATATTATGCTCATTTTCAGGTTGATGTTTGTATGTTGTGCTTCTCCTGTGACATTATTTATGAATAATAATGATTATACTGCCTCTGCCTAGCACCTCTTTTAACCCTGTGTCTGAAACCAGAGTCCAGTCTGCTCTGATTGGTAGCTGGCCGGCTCTGTTGTGATTGGTCCGCCTCTTAGAGACGTCCCGTCCCTAAGCCTATCACGTACTATATGTTGGAGCGCTAGCCAATAGAAGTATGAGTGTTAGTGTTAGGGAGGAAACAAAGAAGTCCAACTAAGGCGTTTCAGGCAGGTGGGGGAGTATATAGATAAACTCCCTCTGGCTTCAACCTTGGATTTTAGCCTTTGTAGACCGTTAACATGCACAAAAAGCTTTATAACACACTACAGGACAGGAAATGGAAAACCCCATGAAGCATAAAAAGGTTGCTTTAAAAATTGAAAGTGCCCAAATTGGACGTAAGGGGCAAGGGAGTCATAGAGAGTGATAAATACTTTATGTCTAAGCAAGATCAATAGGTAACAAAACCAGACTACTAAATATTACCACAGGGTGTTTTAATCTGCTTTATCATAGCACTGACGTGTTCTTAGCTTATCCTTAGTTGGTTTGAAGGGTAACGTTTGTCAGGCTGCTAACAATATATAAACGTGGAGATTGATCATCTTCTTATTTTAATCAAAAGGACATCAGATATGTTATCCACATTATTGTTGGTAACTCATGGGAAATATATCCAAAAGATATAAAGGCACTTAAATCCTCAAATTTAAGCTTAAGATTTTTCTCCCAAAAACACATTTCTGCTCTTCTTCAAATGACGGTCTCTGAAGTTCCAGTTCCTGAAACTCAACAGTCAAAAGTTCCCCGACAAGCAAGTGGACATTGAGTTGAGGTTGTTTTGTCATTTCGATTCACAAGGTCACGCTCTACTCTTTGATGATTTCATTCACATTTCCCTCTGAAATCGTTTTTCAAAGGAAAAACACGTTTTATTCATCCATCACTCGAAATTCAGACTGCAGAAAACAAAACGCTGAAAATAAATAATGTGGGAACTTCTTGGACCAAGTAATTGTCTGTTTACTGTTCCCACTTTTCCGCACATTGATATGTTTTCGTGTTATTTTGTGGTCCTTTTAAACCTCCCTTAATCCTTGCACACAATAATAAATGGCAAAAGAATGATATTTTCTAAAGACATGGTTTGTATTCATTTTGTTTTTGTTTCCCAATAATAACTTCTAAAAATGAGATACTGACTTGAGAGGAAACAACGCACTTCAATGAAGGCAGAAAATAAATCAAAGGATTCAGCTGCCTCCGGCTGTAGTGGAGAAGGAAGTTATGTATTCATTTTCATATATTTATGTATTTGCATGACAGCTACAACTGGGAAAGTGGATCCTTTAGCTTTAAAGATTTCATAACACTGACAACTTTATGCATATTAAGCGTTTTTTTCTTTTATCTCTAAAGTCTACTAAAGAGCATAAATATACCTTTTGAGCACATTATAAATCTATTCAATTGTTAAACAGTCTTTGTTGGGGGTCATTCCTTTGTGTTACCTTCAGGGTCATCTTGGCCAGTAGCTCCTGAAGGTCCATGATGCCTTGCACCAGGCTCAGGAAATCACTGCAGGTCGGACAGGCTCAATGGAGGAAAAGGAAATCACCAAGACAGATACAAAGAGAAGAAGAAAAAGGGAAGTATTTAGATAGGAGATAAACAGAGTGGCAAACAGAAACGGAAGCCTAACACATCTGTTGACTCTTTGTCTAAGTCATGTGTCTGGTATTAGTATCAATAATAAAGCGACAAGGTGTGATGACATGCCTTATTGATCAGAAACAGAGAGAGTGCCACAGCGGTGGCCTTGTATCTCCATCAGTTTGACAGCAAACAGATGGAGAAACAAGGCGGGGAGAAAGAACGCTGCACTGAATCTGAATTACAGCAAAATGAAGATAAAATGAAGGGAACATTGTTTGCGATCAGCAGGGAGAGGTCACCACCAGCTGACACATGGCTTATTATAGTCCAATTTGATAAGAGGTACACAGTAAAGGGGCGTGTTATTTTCTAAAATTCAACTTTTTACTCTCGGAGAGGGTTGGGAACACTATGTGCGTCTGTGTCATCATGATACTCACTGCGGTTAAGGTTGGGGCACTGCGTGATGTAGCCGTTTGGAGCGAATATCAGCTTCACATCCTGGATAACACCCTGGGAACACAGAGGGAACGGGTGCAGGGATACGACAGAAAGAGACGATGAGACGTATGGATCGGCGAGATCATAAGCTAGGCCTTTGGATGCGATGGCCAAAAACACAGACAAGCAAAAGAGAGTCTACAGTCAAGTAAGCAGCTCTCTAAAATGAACTTAAGTCCAGAGAGGCTTTTATCAAGAAGAAAACATCAGTAATGCTAGCATACTGATGTTTGGATTCATCATGTTTAAGTCTGAGAGTATCAAAAGGCCTTTGGATACTTCATGCAGGATTGATGAAAGTTGGAACAGTACAGACTTGTGTAACGATCCAGTTAATAAAGGTAGAGATAGTCACAAAGACTGTATAACAAGTGGGCGTAGTCACCATTGCATCACTGTTTTGTTGACCATGTCTTTGCATTTTGGCCATCACCCTTTTTGTTTTTTGGAACTATATGTAACAATGATACTGCGAGAAGGTGGAGCTAAATACAATCGAATGCTGAGCATAACATTTTAAATGGGCAAATGTTACCATTAACTCTCATGAACTAAGACAAATCTTTGAAAGGATTAAGGCTATGAGATGAAAAAACAGACCACGGCAAAACCGAAATAACAATGTGTGGTAGTGACCTGTCAATCACAAGGTGGCCAAGCCTTTTACAATGATCTGCATTATTGTATATTTTTCTCTAAATGGAACAAAAATGTACACAATTAAATGTATGTGGTTGTGAGGAAGACTTGAACACAGAGATGGAGACCACAAACCAATAAGAATTTGTTTTACTGATGTAAGAAATGATATATCAGAATGATATATCTGAAAGTGGTTGTATTTTAGAAATGGTGAAAAATCACCACAGAATTGTTTTAAAAAGAAACCTATTTTCACACAAGTGTTCCACACAATCCATTCCTAAATGAACACGGCAAATGTACTTCGCACATAGGCATAAGTAAGTGGCCTATAACCAATAGAGTTATCTCCTTTAACGGACTGGCTGTCAATCACTCTGAATGACAGGCTCCATAAGTGCAGGGGTGGTAAATGGAAGGCTTCATATTGACCACGACAACAATCTCGGAAAAAAGGTGCAGTCTCTAATGGAAAAGCAAACTTGTAAAACACTGGGGTGCCCACACACACAGAGAAATAGGGGTAGTATACATTCACCATTCCTTCAATGTGTCTACTGAAAACATGCTGGAGACATTATAATTTACCATCTGAAGCACAGTTGGCATCAACTCGGCCCCATGCTTTATGTGAAATCCATTTACAGTGCATTTTGTTGGCCTGAATACAAGCAACACCTGCATTAATTTCAAACAAAGACACAGGGAGAGGGAGCCTCGAGGCATGAGCTTGCAGCACAGATGGAGAACAAACACACTCACACACACAGAGGCTGTGTGAGCAGTAGATGGGGAAGAAGAGATTGTCACTCAGAATGAAAATGAGGGTGTAGATCACAGATGCCGGTCCCAGTGGTGTAATATAGGGGCCCTGACCACACATCACTGTCAATGATCGGTGCGTAATTTGAACTGAAGTCATAAAATCTCTCTTGCTCACAAACACACATGAATTTCCTGCTTCTGCTAAAGCCTATGGAAGAAGTTTTTCAGTTGCAGCATTAATAAGGAATAATGTGTTTTGCTAAAATGGTGAGACAAGTCCAATTACCCAAGTTATCTTTTCTATTGTGTTTTTCTCTGCACAATAGAACATTGTATTTTAAATGAATGGAGTTAAAATTGCTGACTCTCTACCTTTAAGCTGCACAAATCAATATAGAGTGCCACAGTGACACGTCCTAAAACCCGGAAGTAAGCTGCGCATGGGTTCATTCGACAAAAAGCAATGCAATTTCTCCATAGGATTTTGGAAAATAGCTCGAAATAAGGTCTGTGGTTGAGACACATTTAAGAGACGGATCACGTTTTGTTGAGTCGGATAATCTCCACATGTCTACCCTACTTTTGTAATTTTCTAATCATAAATCTATCGATTAGATTTATGATTCGAAAATTAAATGTGTGTCAACCACAGACCTTATTTCGAGCTATTTTCCCAAATCCTATGGAGAAATTGCATTGCTTTTTGTCGAATGAACCCATGCGCAGCTTACTTCCGGGTTTTAGGATGCGTCACTGTAGCACTCTGAAACAAAGGACAACATTTAATATAAAATACCTCTCTAAAAATGATGAATCCACAGAGGATCACAGCCCACTCTGCCGATGTTTTTTTAAGCTTATTTTATTCACATTTCTTTTAGGTTTAGTTGGACTCAGTCTCACCACTTCCAATAAATGACAGCTGTTTCTAGCCTACCTCTAAATATGGAGTATTTGAACTGCCTGCACCAAATGGCAGAGAGACAAACCTAGTGTCTAGCTGAAAAGCTCATCTTATGTGGATGGTATCATATTGGGAAAGGCAGTTCTTTAACATGATTGTTTCAGAGATTTGAGAAAAAACTAACAAAAGTAATGTCCCAAAACTCACAGGTAGTAATGTAGTCTTGAATAGATATACAATATATATATATATATAGAACAGCCTTTTTGTGTGGTTATATTTGTAAAAGAAAGAGATGCTTTCATACTTTTGAAAAATATTGGGCATTAGACAAGGTAAGATTTAAATCTGGATTGGTTTAAGGTTTGGTTATGTCTAATAAATACAGCCAATGGGGATCCTTACAAGAACTACGTGTGTGTGTGTGTGTGTGTGTGTGTGTGTGTGTGTGTGTGTGGCCTTATGTACATTTGTATGCATAATTTGTTTCTTTGTGTCCCCACATTTGTTTCACATTAATTTTAAATGATCTTTACCTGACTGTCTGCATGCTGTACAGTCATAATTCCCAGTTATCTTGTTTATTATAGCAACAATAGGCCAGAGCCAGGCATATTTGGCCAGCAATTCGCCTTCAGGCAACATTGACGGAGGTTTATTATCCTGGGTAAGGCTTTATCCTGTGATTCTATTTTCTCAATTTGATCATGCACAACTTGACCTTTCCTTGGTCTAGCTTGGTCTGAAGACTTAACCTCCACCTGTGGTTCATCTCCGAGGACTACACCAGCATCAACATTCATTAAAAAAAACGTGTGAGAGGGGAGAGCCATAAGACAGATGAACAGAAAGAAAGACAGATGAAAAGGATAATGTTTTTGACAATCTCCCCAGAGTAATGTACTTTTTCACATGTTCATGCTCGGTTTGACACAGACAAACTATTTGCCATCAAAACCCAACATTTTGATGGACAGTTATGAATTAGCTCACACAGTTCAACAGATGTGTTAGTAATGGTTGTCAAGCTAAGTGACAAAAATAAAATGCAACAAGCAGTGATAAGGGGAGCTCAAAAGCACACACAACATTTTGTTTTGAGGAGGTCATCAAAGTAACTGTGGTTTTAAGGCATAGCAGCAACATTTTTATTAGAGGGTCAATGAAGTTGACATTTTGCTGTGCATTTTATATGTAGCTATCAGCTATCAAATTACAGCTTATGCTTGCAAAACCTGAAACAGGCATGCTCTACCACTTAAAGCGTTTTAGAAATGCAGAATTCTAATGGATGGGGCAAATGTGTGCCTTCTTCAGAAACGCATCCTACACACGGTTCTGTTGGAAGCTTCAACGGAGACGCTTCCCATTCACGTTGAATGGGGTGACGTCACGCTTTGCAGAACTGAATTGTGGTTCCGTTGCTTCGCTTTGCTCGCCATTGCTCGCAGTGAAAGTTGAGAAAATGGCTCTGAATTCGCTAAGAGTGACCGTTTAAAAAGTATGCAGTTACCTAATTCATTATCTCTTATGCGCTAACCTATTATTTAATGTGCTTCAAAAGGACATGAATATCGCCTTCATCAGTGACCGGTCCACCCCAGGATCTGACCATACGATGGCAACCATCGTGGTTGAGGGAAACAAATGAATGAGCAAGCATTCTAAGTTAAATGTGTTCGTACTGTTTGAAATAATGACTGTCGGCAGTGTAAACATCTTTGTTACATCTTTTGTAAAATGGATGTGTGTGATCTGCAGATTGGTGGCCATTGAGAGTTTGTTTCTGTAGTTTTACAACAACTTTACAGATTTGACACATTTGGCACTGGTTTTAAATATGCAAAGGCCTCTAACTTCGCTGTGATGGCAGCATGTATTTGCTGTGTCCCCATGTCCCATGGTAATATGGCTAATGTGTTTCTTTATTATTTGTGGGGCAATTTAAATTTGTGTAATTTATCTTTTTTTTCAAGATTGAAATGAAGCTCAGCGCAAGTTCTTTCAGGAAGACTGGGTGTATATACATTCACTCTGCAGCTGCATATAATCAGCTCATCACAGGCGTTCTCTTTAAACTATTACATTTCACCTCATTCTCCAGCAGCCAATCACTGTGCTGCAGCCAAACTATAAAATGGCTCTCCTCTCTCCTGCAGTCAGCTGTGATTTCAGGTGTTCATGCACCTTATCATAGGCATGTGTCAATAAATGTTCAAACTAAATGAAGTCTCTCCTGATTGAAACATCATGTGTTGAAATAAACAACTGCAGTTCAAAATAAAAAGTGAATTGCCTAATATATTTTGTTGTGGAATCAATTAATTTCTTTCTTTAAAGGCAAAAACATGAAAAAGCTAATATATATATGGAATATATAATATATTTGGAGCAACTTAATTTATAAATGGTTGTTCACAATGATGGTAATTAAGTACATACAACTTAACATTTCTTTTAAATCATGTGCTAACACTAGTCGGAACAACTTAATTTTTTGAGTAATCAACTTAAAAACTTGTGTTTATGCTACCTATTATTAAGTAAGTGGTAATTAAAAACACCTCTGATTGTAGAGGAAAAGCCTTCTCCCCTAACTCAAATAAGTTTGTTGGTTTAACACAATTTCATTAGAAGTTGTCTTAACTCAATAAACATTGATGCAAACTGTTGCGTTGATTTTCTTTGTTGAGCCAAAGCATTTGTTTTTAGAGTGCACACAGCGTTGGGATTGGGCCTAAATGTTCTCATACATCACCTATTTTCAACCTGTTGTGATTGGTCAACCGCTCAGAGATTTGTCTGTAATGCCCCGCTCCTTAGCCTATCACGTACAATGTGTTGTAGCGCTAGCCAATAGAAGCGCAAGTGTTACATAGTGATGTCATTGAAGTAAACAAAGGCGTCCAATGGAGGCGTTTCAGGCAAGAGTGTCTATGGGAGAGAAACTCCCTCTGGAGGGAACTTTGGAATGTTACCACACTACAGGAAAGGGAAGACCCCCCAACAGAATAATAATGTCCCTTTAAAAAGTAAATAATTCATACATTTAAACAAAAGCCATAATCGTTAAAACTGTCTATTCATTACTGTACCTTAAAACTTAAGAACCCTCCTACCACAAACAAAAGGGGGAGCAGCATCAATGGGAAACCATTCAGCCTTTGTGAAAGTTTGGCTCTTCATAGAGAAGTTGAAATGTATTCCCTAGAATGCAACATTTTTCCTTTCAAGCCACAACTTCGCTTTAGCCATTCTACATTTAGAAGGGTAATTCCAGACTGTACAGCATAGATAGAGGTTTGAACACAAGATGATTATATTGTGGATGGTACAACTCAGAAATAAAAAGAACAAAGCAGGAATGACAGCAAAAACAAACCATTTTAAACCCCCAGGAAAGAGAGGACACACTAGACATACATGGGAAGAGCCGGAGTGAGAGATCAAATCCCAGAAACCCTTATGTCCAGGTTCAGCTTTTAATCGTGCTGCCTCATGTAATGTCTTCAAGCGCTCCATCATTGTCCATAGTAGATTCATTACTGTCCTGTGGTGCATGAAACACCGAGCGTTTCACAAAAGCACCAGTTCCAAACAAGTCTGCAGTGTCCATGAGGAGTCAGCATCCTTGGCACAATGGATTCTCGATAAAGATAATTTATTACGGTTGCTCCTTCAGATGGAGAGGCTCCCGGGAGGAGGCGGCACAAGGACCAGGAGCGTCTCAGCCACTGTGAGAGCTCAATATTTTTTATTTAAAAGGCCTAGTTAGCTCTTCTTACCTACTTCGGAGTCCTGAATGGAAAATATTAGAGCTGCAGCTTTATTTCACCTCCTATTGCTATCTGCTGCATAGAATTATTTCCTCTCTGCTTTTGACTTGAGGAGAGGGAACTAGGATATGTGTATCCCCTTGACTTAGGAAACAGATAGGAGCAGTACATGTGAAGAGAAAGCATAGAAGAGAAGTGTTTATGATTGTGTAACTTTTCAATTTTTAAATTTTTAGCACATACAGTATCTTCCTGTTAAGCCACGACTTTTTAAAATTCCAATTAAACAAATGAAATACAAGGTGTCAATGGATGGATCTCTACACAGATGTACAGGGCACAGCCTGGGGGCCCAACATCAGGGGCCTTTACCTACAAATTGTCGTTTAAAGAGACACAAACTAACCAAAGAGCCTCAAAACGACCACAAAGACACATTACTGATGATATTGCTTTAAGAAAAATAATAATATAGGTCTGAAGACAGAGATGCACATTGATATAAACATATATGGAATGGAAACTGAATGGGGGAAAAAAACAGACGTGGTTTGACAAATGGCATTATGTTATCTTGGCCTCTAAGCCTAAACCAGTAAGAGATGGCTGCTACAATCTGAAACATTTAGCTATCTAGTAGGCTAAATTAACCAAAACACGGATGGAATAAAAAAACTATGACTAAGTTTCTATCGCGGATATGTTGGCTTATATATCCAAGATGCATGCATGAGCAGGACATATTTGACAGTTTTCTTAAAAAAAAGTTGTTGCTCTAAATGGTCCCTGATACCGTGTGCAACAGGTCCTTGATCCAAGGTTTTACATGTGCACCTGTCAGCTGAAATGCCAACTCATCCCAGTGTATACCTAAAGGGAAACATCCTCTTGTTCCCTCTGTCACTTCACACGAGCACACACACTTCCACACCATCTGTCTCTGCTGCTGACAAACACTTTTGAGTGCTCCCCTCCCCACAAGGAGGGTAGAAAGACTGAGCACCGAGCAGATGAACTCGATGAAGGAGCTGCATCTTTCAAGACCAGACATTTCCTCCAGAAGAAGGAGTTCCTTGAAGCCTTGATGCGAGAGGGGATGAGGGAGGAAGAGGTAGAGGGAGGAGGAACAATGTGCTGATGTGCAGCAGTGATAGTGTCAAAGCACAGGGAGGAGAAATTATTTACACCACAGCAGGGTCTGGTGTCTAATCATTACATGGATGTTACAGAGAAAAAATAAAAGGTCCATTGATTGCATTGCAGGTGGGAAAGAGAGGCGGGGATTTGGGAGTGTGTGCATGTCTCAGTGACACTCAGCCACATCCCTTTACCCGCTGTGAGCACATGCAGGAGCCTGAGAAAATGAGCAGTGATAAAAAAAATCGTCAACGTCGTAATGGGCAAGGTAATAAGTGTTTCAAAAGCATACGCTGAGCTTTTGTTGTCGCTCCTCTGAGAGGCCTCTGTATTTCTTTCTTGTATCTTCCACTTGGCTCTCTTCCCTCACACAGCCTTCTGCAGATCTGGCCAATTATACCAGGCGATCATGAATGTGAAGCACGTACATGGGGGAAGGAATGTATATGTGGGTATTGTTTCTGGAGTCTTACCTTGAACAGGCCGTGCTTGTGGCTGTGCTGGCCGAGCCACACTCCACTGCCCGGGGTGATCTCCATCTGGGGAGGGTCTATCACCCGCTCATAAATCCTGTAAAACAACAAATCAGAAGAGAATGTTTGGTTATGATAACGACACAGACACAGTGTTGTTTTTGTCCTGGTTTGGCAGCAACACTGATCCAACGCAGCTGAATAGTAAATCCAACAGAGTGTGTGTATGTCCGCGCCCTCCCTCTCCACTTCATGAGGTGTAAAGCAGGAGCTGATCTCCTCGAGCATGACAGCCAGTTTCGCCCCACGGCCCCCTAATACGGTATTGATAACTGGTGCTCGGGTGTGGGCTGGATTAACCGCCCGACTCCTGACGGACACAAACAGGCTTTGACATTAGCCAGGCAAACAACCTCAGCGTCATTCAGAATCACTTTTTCCTGCAATAAGGAAGGCTTAACGATACCGGCGAGCTCTGGTGGGCCTCTGAGAGGATGTAAAAGAACAATTTGTCAGGTTTTTCCCTCCCTCTACTCACACTAGTAGGAAAAGGTGGAGAAGACCTGCTGTGTTTCTCTGCATGTGTTTCCTCACTCAATTTAGCAAGACGATTTCTCTCTTGTTCTCTATGTCCACTGATACATTAGGTCATTTTGTACTAGTTGTGATCTCAATATGGAAATAAATGATCATGAAAAATAAAACTTGTTATTATAAGTGGTTGGGGGTGGTTTCCAAAAGAGATGAGAAGACAGAGATGACTGGTTTAATGAATAACAGTACAAATCCTCTTAGTATAATCTCAGCTTCAATAAGCATTATTTCTGTTATTATTACCTCAGGAAATGACTGTTATTTCAAATGAGGGATAGTGGTCGTAATCCCTTCTGCTCTTATGTTTTCAAGGATTTTATCAGCTTTTGGTTTTGATCTGCCTGAACAAATATTGGACCACTTGTCTCTAATCAACCCCTCCTATAAAACAATTAGCAGCTCAATAAAACTACCTGCCCAGCACATAGTGGAAGTTAAATATTTGTCTCATACTGTATGGCAAAGGATTAAATCATGAATGAAGCCTTAGCTTTTTGAAGCTAGTAAGAGAATGGGCTCCATTAGGATGTCTGTAGGTTGCTGCTGCATGTGGGTTTCATCAAATGACTGTGTGCTAACATGCTAACGACAATTAGCTACTATAGGTATTTCAAGACTCTTAAAAGTGTTTTCTGTTTTCAAGCTATAAGCTTTCAGAAAACTACACCCTGCTTGATCGTCAGCCTTTATATGCACCTGTGTTGCATTGGTTTGTGACAAATATACTAAGTTATCGCTATCAAACCGAGCATGACACAAATTTAAAATGGCATTTAATTGGGAAATATCAAGCTGAAACAATTCACAAATACGTTTTCCATAATGCTTGAAAAAAAAAAGCCCTCCAGCAAGAGAATGAATCAAGAACAAGACAGAAGCAGAAAGTGTCATCTGACTGACGGTAAGTTTCTTTAAGCCACTGATCTCAGTGCTGCGTTTGACACTGTTGACCACAAAATATTACTAGACCGACTGGAAAACTGGGTGGGACTTTCGGAAACAGTTCTAAATTGGTTTGAATCCTACTTAAAGGACAGAAACAACTTTGTTTCTATAGGTAAATACTAGGGCTGTCAGTCGATTAAAATAGTTAATCGCAATTAATTTCAAATTAATCGCACATTTTTTATCTGTTCTAAATGTACCTTAGAGGAATATTTTTCAAGTTTTTAATCTTATCCACATATGAGTGGACAAATATGCTTTATGCTAATGTTTATTATCATTTGAACAATGACAAATATCCTCATGAATATTAAACACAACAACCTCTGAACATTACAAATATTCGCCTCAATTCAACCTGGAACCTCTCTCATACAATAATACAATACAAATGGTGTGCGTGCGCACGTGTGTGTGTGTGTGTGTGTGTGTGTGTGTGTGTGTGTGTGTGTGTGTGTGTGTGTGTGTGTGTGTGTGTGTGTGTGTGTGTGTGTGTGTGTGTGTGTGTGTGTGTGTGTGTGTGTGTGTGTGATGGATCGTTGGAGCTATGTGCAACTCAAGGCATATGCTCGAACGGGAGCTGCCTGGACGCTGCAATCATGTTGCGCGCACTATCCGTGCTGAGTGTGCTGACTTTTCGTACAATGTCCCACTGTCTGGCTTCCTGCATAAAGTCAAGTGCTCGGCGCAGTTGTGGCGAAATGTCGCTCCTCTGTTTTCATTTAAACAGCTCCATATCCGTTAGCGCAGCTAGCTAGCACCAGATGCTAACAACAACAATGCACGTAAGGTCTCTCTCGCTCGCTCGGGCCACACATACACACACCCTCCCGGTCCTCCCAACAGCCAGTCAGTGCCTGCCGGTGAGCGTGGAAGTGTGGTCTGCCACAAGTGGGCGGCAGGAGCGGGGCTGTCAGCATCAGCTTGTAGATGGTATTTTAAACTCGATGCGCTCTGAAACTACGGGGCGGCCGAGGAAAAAAAATACACATGCGTTAATCGCGTTAAAATAATTAGTGGCGTTAATTTTTTTTTGCGTTAACGCGTTATTAACGCGTTAACTTGACAGCCCTAGTAAATACACATCTGAATTGACAAATATGACATGTGGGGTACCTCAAGGCTCCATCTTGGGGCCTCTTCTCTTTAACATCTACATGCTACCACTGGCTCAGATAATGAAGAACAACAAAATAAGTTACCATAGCTATGCAGATGACACACAAATGTACGTAACAATTTCACCAGGAGACTATGCTCCAATTCAAACACTGAGTAAGTGCATTGAACAAATCAATGACTGGATGTGTCAGAACTTTCTCCAATTAAACAAAGATAAAACTGAGGTAATGGTTTTTGGAGCCAAGTCAGAACGTATAAAAGTTAGCGCTGAGCTTCAGTCTGCAATGTTCAAAACAACAGATAAAGCCAGAAATCTAGGTGTAGTCATGGACTCTGACCTGAGTTTCAACAGTCACATTAGAACAGTTACTAAATCAGCCTACTATCACCCAAAGAACATATCTAGGATTAAAAGACTAATGTCACAGCAGGATTTGGAAAAACTTGTCCATGCTTTTATCTTCAGTAGACTGGACTACTGTAATGGTGTCTTCACAGGTCTCACTAAAAAATATATTAGAAATCTGCAGCTGATTCAGAACGCTGCTGCTCGAGTCCTCATTGACACTAAGAAAGTGGATCACATCACTCCTGTTCTGAAGTCTTTACACTGGCTTCCTGTTTGTCAAAGAATAGATTTCAAAATACTGCTGCTGGTTTATAAAGCTTTGAATGGTTTAGGACCAAAATACATTTCTGACCTTCTGCTAAATTATGAACCATCCAGATCTCTCAGGTCTTCAGGGACTGGTCAGCTTTCTGTCCCCAGAGTCAGAACTAAACATGGTAAAGCAGCGTTCAGTTATTATGCTCCAAATATCTGGAACAAACTCTCAGAAACCTGCAGATCCGCTGCAACTACTTTTAAATCCAGGCTGAAGACTTTTATTTTTGTCGCTGCTTTTAATTGAACTATTCACATCTTAGACTGTACTGTAACTTTTTAACTTTGTATTTTTTCTTTTAATGTTTATTTTATTAGTTTTTCTTTTTAATGACTGATTTTAAATGCCATTTTCTTAATGTCTTTCATTTTTTGTAAAGCACTTTGAATTGCCTTGTGTTGAAAAGTGCTATATAAATAAACTTGCCTTGCATAAGGAGTAAAAAGCAAAAACAAAGCCACGCATTACTAATTATATTTTGTATAGAGAAGGCATATTTATTTCCTTTGGTTTGTAAATAGAAGCTTTTTCATTTAAAGACATGAGCACACAGTGAATATTTGATGTGGAAGAGCTGCAGTGCCTGGATGATGTTTATGCCGCAGCCGTCTGATTTCCCACCTGCTGGGCGAGCTGTCACTGCGGTAGATAATGCAGAGGTCATGCGATTTTACTCTATTTTGTCTCCTACAATCTTTCTGTGTTTGCTTTCCGAACCTTCCTGTCTTGTCAGCAGCAGTGAGGACTACAGCTTCGTACAGGGAACATTGGAGAGAGCAGTGATGCCAATTAGAACAGTGTAATGTGCTCGCGGGCATATTTGCATAGTTTGACAACACCGGCTGCAGCCATCAACGGCTAATTATAGGACATTAACCAGTCAAAATACTGTATAGTATGATTAAAAGAGCCCTTCTATCACCAAGGTGCAGGATTCAATGATCAATGGCTACAGCTGACAATCGAGAAAAGACAGAAGGATGTGAATAAATATAACGTTTTGATGACATTTATCATAAAAAGTCAAATAAATACATGTTCTAATGTAAAATGTCTATCCACAGTTTTGGTAAAATGTGTCAAAGTTTGAAATGCATGATCAGTCACTTTTAAAATCCAATCAAACTGCATCTTTAGTATTGTAAATGGTCAGCACTGTGAGCCAATAGATCTCCAATGTTAAAACATAGCCTACCTGTATGAGAGAGTAACAGGGTATGATAGACCATACTTTAGTATCAGCATTACTGTTTGAAATATTATCTATTGAGCTCAGCCTCACTGTCAATTGTCCACTGTTCACTCTCAAACATCTTATCAAACTGAACTGTTAGTTCCCATTAAAAGCATTCAAATAGCAAACCACATGGCGGCTTTTATTGTGGAGCAATCACAGGGAACTGTATTTGTCCCTGAGGTTAGCGCCCGACATTGATCGTTCGTCATAAATGACTCTGCAAGGCCAGACTTTTTAACAACAGATCAGTTTTAAATATTGCAGAGAGTAATAGAACACGCTGAAGAGCTGCAGGCAACTTCTCAGCCAGGTAACCAATTCAACTATGCCCTACAGTTGGGAGTAAAATGCCGTGTGCAGCATGAAATCAGATCACAGTTGCTCATGGCTTGATGGAACAAGGCAAATTATTGTCTGACGTCTTTATAAACATAACATTCTGACAAATTAGCTGCTCAACAAGTGTTTGCTGCCCCCAGATAAATAGAACCGGTAGTATTAAAGGGCGCAACTTATGCTAATGTTCAGGTTGCA